GATAGGAAGACTAGTGGTAGATTCCAAGGCTCTAACACTTCTCAATCATTGTTTCACAACTTGTTCATTGCTGCCATTGTTTACTTCCAGCACTTCCATTTCATTCTCTTGTTTTCATTTAAACAACAAAAACCCCCCATTCGAGTGCGTGTGTGGTGCTAGGATTCTGTCCTAGACCTTGCCAATTGTTAGTTAGTTTGTTTCTTTGTTTTCAGTTTTTCCATCATTCTAAGTAGTTTAACTTGCAACCAAGTTACCATTCTCCGTGGGATCGACCTCGTATTTCATAAGCTATACTATAAATGGTTCGTGCACTTGCGAGAATTGAAGTTTCTATTTTTAATAACTCATTTTAGTTGTTAGGAATAGGCTCAACATTAGTTGAGGGACCATTACTACAATTTAGCATATTATATACTATTCTGTAACTTAGTATGTCACAAACCATGTAATTATGTAACTTCGTACATCCATACTTGAGGCAATCTTTATTAGCTTAGGAAACATGTGTGAGCCTCACTGCATCAATGTTTGAAAGTCACTCACGTACTCATTGACACCTAATTTATTAAACTGGCATATATATATATATATTTTTTTTATTTGTATAAAATTGTATAAACGGTAAAGAGGGCCCCAAAAATTTAGATGTCCATGGGCACGTGAGGCATAGATGGGCGCATTTTAGTTCCTTTTTAACTTTTTGTGATATAATTTTTTTAGTTGCTCAAATTACAAAAATGTTCATGTCACGTCAATATGTTAATAGTTTTATTGACATAAAGGGCATTATAACATTATATTTTTTAGGAAAAAAAAATACCATGCTGTATTTTTGAGTGGGAAAATGATGACACAGTAAGAGCACTTCCAGCAGTTTGTCCTTTGCCATGGCAAGGGGCGGACTAGGGCAGCTACTATTCACGTGAATAGTGGCTGCCCTTGCAAAAGGTTGTGGTGTTTCCATCAATTGCCATGGTAACAACTATTCACATGAGATATGAGGAGAGAAATTTGTATAGATTTTTGGTGTGGGAAGTGAAAAACTATGACTAAGTATTTATTTAAAAAAAATATGAAATTTTTTGTATTTTTTAAAGATTTTTTTCGATTAAATTTTGTTGTTGTTGTTGTTGTTGACATCAGAAAACCCGGGCTTGAACTAGGGCTCATCTTGCCTGAGGGATGCCCTGGTTTCATGGGCCCCAGCAGCTGCCCCCCCCAGCCCTTATTGCTGGAACTGCCCTAAGAGCTAATTAGAATGACAAGTGGCTAGTTGAGAATTTTTCTTCTCCAAATAGACTCTCTAAGAGTTTTTGTATAATATATGTAGTTGTAATGGTGGTTTCTCTAATTTTCTATTTAGGTCATTTAAACTCCCTTATCCAAACACACACATTGAGTAAAAGCACAATTGGCAAAGTTTTGTTGAGACTGCAAGAGGATGGTTAGATTCGAGTGAAAGAACAAGGGGCAAAACAACAACTAAACCAAAATTATAATACTCAACTCCAAAAGTTCTTTTTTCTTTCATTACTCACTCTTTTAGAAAACAATAAACATAAAAAAAACAAAACGTTATTCTTGGTCTTTGTAGTTTACCGGTTTTATTTTATCACTTTGATCCCCGTAGTTTTAATTTTGTGAATTTTATCCTTATAATTTTTCATTCGAAACACAATTCAAGGAAAAATTTGAATTTTTGTAAACTTTCTTCAAATTTTGTTAAGTTTTAACTGTTGCGTCGATTCAGCTGCATCCTCAACTTGTGATACTCGCAAGTGCATGAGCCGTTTGGTAGTATAGCATATGTAAGTGCGAGGTCGATCCCACGAGGATTGGTGATTGAATGATCCAATTCATTTCCCCTACACAAAACAGAAATGAAAAAGAAAATAAATAAAACAAGAAAAAAGGAAATAACTCAAGCAAATAAGTTCCCAAGTTCAATTAGATTAACTTCCCAAGTTTAATTAGATTAACGGATTGATTCTAGCTAAAATCTGATTAAGCCATGGTGTTTGGTCCTAACCTTGTATTCCTAATTCCCTAATTTGATCATCTGTTGTCTAACCTAAACTAAGCTTTAGGAATCCAGTAAGCATAGAAGAACATTTTAAACAACCAAGTATGTATCTAATCCCTGTTGTCGAATGTCCATACATACTCTTCCTATTCATAGTTCAATTCGAATTAAAGCATGGTGTCTACTCTTAATTCAAACCAAGATAGCTAACATGCAAGCCTAAATGGTGATCAATCATTCAAACTAGCATATTAACTTATAAGCATAATGAATAAGAACAAAAACCATAATTGAAACTTGGAAACTAATCAAACTTGAAACTAAAGAAAAGAATTTACATAATAATGAAAAGTAAAGTGGAACTAAGAAAAACTTAAGAAGAATTTCAGCACAAATATTTCATTATAACAATTGAAAACTAGAAAGAGAAACTAAAAGAATTTGAGGGAGAGAAGGGTGGGGAGCTCTAGAGAAGTGTTTAAGAGCTCCCCCCCTTGGGGTTGTGTTTTGAAGCTTGAAGACTTCTCTATTTATAGGGCTAAGAGGGAGGAACATCATGATGAATTCCAACACCACCATTCCTCTTTTAATACAATTTATAACTCCCACTTCATCTTGTCTATGTTAGTGTGGTTGGAATCAATTCCCTCCCATACTTCTTTTGTTGCACCTCAAGCTTTCTTCACATGGGTTTGCTGGTTTCTTCTTTTAGCATGGAGGTCTAGCTCTTTATTTGCTGCCAACCCATGTGCTGCTAGTCTTTGTTGCTGGCTAATAAAGTTCTTTTGCTGTTGCACATGTGTTGCTGGAAAAACGAATTCATCTGAACCAGGCTTGGTGTAGGAAGGCCTGAGGTTTCAATATATATCCAATGGGGCTTAAATTTGGATATGTCATAATAGACACCGATTGGAACAACGTTTATGAAGAATGCATTCCCATCTGAGCAGTACAAGTGTACATTTTGGGCCATGCAAGTTGACTACCGAAAATAGATTGGAATTGACTTCATTGCAGTCAGCTTGTGGGCTTGTTTTGGGCTTGATCTTCCCTCCTACAAAATCTGGACAAATCTGGATCTTGAAGCTCTTTGAATTATCTTTCCAAGCATATGCAGCCCAGCTCAAGGAAAAATCGGAAAGCCCTTCAAATGAGATATTTGGCCCAGTAACGCAGATGCTGCCTAATTTGACCTTAAGTTGCCAAAACTTGTATAACTTTCTCTAGAAGACTCGGAATCATGAACCGTAAAATTCTCCAGAAACTAGACTTCCGCATCTTTCCAATGATATATGGCTCGTTATCTGGTTCTTCTTGAGCAAGTACAGTCCAATTCATGAAGTTGACTGATCTGCAGACACCAATGAGCCAACTTGTCTCCAAAATGCATTTAATGAGTCTCAAGCTTATTACACTGAAACAAACACGAAACTTATTAAAAGCACAAGTTTAACTCAAAAACATAACCAAATCATAAGTTAGAAGGATACAAAATGACATGTAATTATGCACCGATCATTAACCAAGCGCCCCTAGCATGTAGGGGTATTTTGGTCCAATCAAACCATCTAATGGTAAAACACAAGTTGGAGCTCTTCCTATTCACTTTCAACGTGATTTTTGGACTTAGAGTTTCTTAAAAAGTTGTATCTTTGGATTGAAATTTGGGGAATTGGGAGGAATTTCATAGTAATTTGGCCAAAATGGACGAACATACCCCTCCCACCTGAGTGGCATGTACTTAACTAGGGCTGGCATTTTCTACCGTAAAACCGACCGAATTGGACCAAACCGGGCATTTGTTACTTAAATTTCATTTTTGATTTGCAAATCGAACCGAACCACCGCAAATCGGACCGGTCGCGGTTGAGAAAACCCCAAATAGACAGTTCACCGAACCGAATCGACATGTGTGTGAAATTGTGCAAAACTATGCATTCTAGGGGATTTGATCCCCTGACCTAGGGTTTCAAATCATTCCATCTTTCCATTGGACTGCTTGGCTTTCTTATTAAATCTTTGTACAACAAGAGTATTTAATAGCTTCTAAAGAGAATTTAAAAATATAATAAAAAAATTAGGGTTTTTAACCCTAGCATCTCTTCAGTTCCAGACCCTATTCTTATCTTCTTCTTTTTATTTTTCTCTCCAGCCGCCATCTTCTTCTCCCCCTCACGAGCTCATCTCTTCTTCTTCTCCCTCTCTCTCCTCTTCGCTGCCACCATTCTTCTTCGAAGTTCATCTCACCATCTCTTCTTCTTCTCCTCCTCCATCTCTCTTCTTGTCCCCATCGCAACCCTTCTTCTTCTTCTTCTTCTTCTTCTCCTCCTCCCTCTCTCTACTCTTTGCCACCGGCCTTCATCTTCATCTCCTCATCTTTCTTCTTCTTCTTCTCCTCCTCTTTTTCTCTATCTATTGATTTATCTAGTTTCTTACCGTCACCGAACCATTCCGACCGATGGTTTCTGTTCAACCGAAATCCGGTAAATCGACAAAATCAGAGTCGGTAGCGGTTTCAATTTTGGGTATACCGACTACCATCGGTCAGTTATCGGTTGGAGTCCATCGAGTCGGTTACCGAACCGATTCCACCCATATACGTAATAGAATTGGGAGGGATTTGATAGAAAATGAAATGCTTGAATTCCTCCGAATGGAAAATTACAGGTTAAATTTTACAAAATTGAAATTATAGGGACAAAAGTGATAAACAGACAAACTACAGGACCAAAAATGAAAAAAAAAAAAACCCAAACATTTTTATGTGATTCTTTGAGCAAAATATTTGGTTACTGAACGAGTGTTTTTCTGAGGCATCTCTGCTCTTTGTCGTCTCGCTGCAAGTTTGGGTATGCTCTCACTCTCTCCCTCACTCTCTATCTACGCTCCCTCTTTATCTCACTTCTCTCTGTGGTTTCATGTTTCGGGTGCAATTTTGGGTTTGTGTTCAACTGCAATTTTTTCGATTACTGGTAAAGGGTTTAATTAGATTTTGGGTTTTCTGTTGTTTGCTTGGTTCAGGTTTTTGTTTTGTTTATGGTTTGGGCGGTTTTCTGGATGCTTAACTTTGGTTTGTAAGTTAAATTTCTGGGTTGATGCATTCGGGTTCTGGCTGCCGCATTTTTCTTAGAGTCTAAATATATTTTTTGGATTGTTGTACTTTTAATTAGTGTTATGTTAATCGTGAATCTGTGATGCAAACATATTGATGGTGGATGTTCTATATGGGTTGCTGATTCTATGTTGGAGAAATCAAATTTTTGGTTTTCTGTTTTGCTCACATTGATTTTAATCAGAGTGCATGCTACAGAAACGAAATATTGGGTTTTGTTTTACCACTTTAATGTTAAGCAGATCAAACAAAGCCCAAAAGGTTCAGATAACAAAATTGACGGAGTTTGGATGGATATGACAGTAGGGGCAACATGGAACACCAAACTTTGGTCAATAGGTAAAGTGGGCTGCTTTGGCTTCCAAGAGACAAAGTAAAATTTGACCATAGTTTCACGATAAATAAGTCTTTTGATAACAACCCTCAATGTCGATGCGAAATTCTGTAGTGAGGGTGCCATATATGACCTCTCTCCTTCATATTTTGTATCACTGTATGGTGCTGGGCCTGTGATGTGAAATTGTTGTGGGATAGCTGAAACTACTGTATAGTTCTCACGGTTCCAATCTTGATAATCAAATTCAAGAGTGGCGCTTTTGTTTTTGGTCCCTGTACGAAGATAGCTGGAAAATCATATAAATGAGCTACTTTTATTAGTTTCCTGGCTCTGTATCCTCTGATTCTCTCTCTCTCTCTCTCCCCCTCTCTCCCCCTCTCTGGGGTGAATTTCTGCATTATGAGAGACGAGAGGTAAATTAATTGAAGGACTCTATCTGAGTTCAATTAATTGTAAATGGATTGGTAAATTAATTGAACATTTTACTCTAGGTGGGTTCAATTAATTGTAGATAGATTGCTTTGCATTTCAAGTTAAGGATCGTTAATGCTATTGCTTCATGAAATGGGTTTTGGTTTTATATTTTATTTGATTATTTATTAGGTCTCTCAAATACTAGGCCTTGGTTTTGCTTCGAAAGTAATTATGGGATGCTAAGACTTCCAGTCATATAATGATAGGGTTTTCCATAGAGACAAATTAATTGTCCTATACTCTATCAATGCATATGGAAGTCTTCTGTGTTGGTTGTGTTTTGGGCTGTTGTCTAGTCAATAATTTTTAACTTCTATTTCATCAAGGCAATCATGTGATATACCCGTCAAACCTTATGACATGATGCCTAATGTTATTCCTTGTTTGAGGTGATATACAGATGGTAATTGGAGAAAGTTACTGTTCTAATCAGTTGGTTTGTTTGTCTGATTTCTTCAGTTCACCAACAGAAACTATGACATGGTTTCCATGTAGCACACTGTTAATGATTTTGGCGGAGACTTGGTGTAACTCTGCTAAAATTGATTTTTTATAAACAACTTAGTGTCATTTTGAGAGACGGAAAGCATCCGGGAATCGACTAGACTTGAAATCTTTAAAGCTTCCATAGACATCTGGCATAAGCTAGAATGTGGGTATATTGCTTTATTGCCTGTTAGGTCTTTCCTGGTAAAGTTTTTGTCTTTCCGTAGGTATCATACAGAGCCTGAATGTCTCATTTCTTCCATAACAGGCGATTTAGTGTTTCAAAGATATTTCTTGCAGCTATGGTAATAATTTCTTCATTAAATATTTATATCCAAAGGCCATATCTCCTGTATGCATTCACACAAATGCTTGAGTATACAAATTTTGTCTTTCCCTTTGGCTCTTGTTGAGAGTGACAAATGCCTGCGTTTTGGGAGGGGAAAGAAGGGGAGGGGGGATATATGAAATTCTTAATTTAGCATTTATCACCTCCATGCAATATGAAAGCACAACAGAATTAGTGTGCTTTTTGAAGTAGAATCTTTTTTAGCATTACAGATTTTGAACGTAAAGGGCAAGCATTACAGGCACAAAACTTATAGAAAAGACACCACTCAAAAGCATTACATCCATATTTAAGTAGCATGAAACAAATAAACTACAGAGAAAAATAACTCTGTAAGTTTCATGCTACTTAAATATGGGTGTAACGCTTTTGAGTGGTGTCTTTTCTATAAGTTTTGTGCCTGTCCTACATGCGTAAGCATTAAGCAATGACAACGGGGCATTTAGGCTAATTTTGCTTGACAATACACGTATAATTATAAAACAGGAAATATCTAATGATAGAGATTTGCTTCTTTGGAATCTGGATTCTGGGCCAATGGGAATTGGTTGTGTTTCTTAAATTTATAATACTGATGGCACTTTTGGTGATTGAAGGCTGTTCTAGCCAAGAAGAGTGGCTGTTCTCGAATGAATGCAGAATGTGTTGAATTTTAATTTTTAATTCATTTCCATGCTGGGAAATATTACAACTTCTATTTTAGGCTACTTTACCACCTGAGCTAGGGCACGTGGGTATAATGTTGCTTCTTTTTCTGTATCCTTCACTTATTGCGTCCTTATATTTCCAAAACAATGGCATTCCTACACTGTAATTCATCATGGCATGAAATTGCTGCTTTTAGTTAGATGTCATTAGCTTGAGTTTGTTTGAGATATTATCATCGGTCTTGGAGATTGCTCATGTATCATGAACATGTTATGGCAGAGTTATTTTTCTCTGTAGTTTAATATACTGGTTCTCTTTCTTTTGTCCTACCCAACGTATGTCTTTTATTAATGTGTTAGTTCATGTTTCTCATTTACAGATACACCGATACTAGTTCGAACTGCATAAAAATTCTGGATTGGATTTTCCTTGGGTATAAAACAAATGGCTGAGTTAAACCCGGGTATACTCATAGATATTGTGGATGAAGAATGGATGAGAAGCACTCTTCCTGATGATGGTATAGTTTTTCCTTCCCCCTTTGATATGCACTCTCATGCATTCATTGAAGTAGAAGTATTTATTTCATTATTTCTTTTTGTTCAATTGTTAAAATTGTCTTTTTTAATTGCAGAACTTCCCCTTCCACCAGTGCTTGTTGTACGGACTGATGATACCGAGGATTCAAGTACGTCTGTTTATACTTTAAGAAACTTTTGTGACCCCTGCGAGTCCCTTTTTGCCCTGAAAAAAAAGATTTGATCCCCTTTAAACTTTCAAACTGTTGCATTGCCCGTTCAATTATCTGCCAAATCATGTTACGTACAGCACATGTGAGGCATTTTTTGAGCGTAAATTTGTCCCATTGAAGGTCCCCCTCTGTTTTGTCTTTGTGTTACTCTTGAATTCTTTCCCAGCTGTCCCTCTCTCTCACGGAAATTGGTTTTGGGTCTCTCTCTCTCTCGCAATTAATTGTGGGTCTTTATGTTAAACTCTTCAGTATACTCTTTCTTACCAGCAAGGGGGGTTCTTTGGTTCATTTGGGCCATAGAGTGAAGAAGCGGGTTTCACATTGGGTCACGGAATGTGTTCGAGGATGACCTAATGGTGTTTACCTTTTTGCAGTTTTAGCAATGGATTGTGTAGGTACTCCAGCTATGAATATGTGCTTTTTAATACTTCTTTGGGAAATAGGAATAGATTCAAAGCATGGAGCTTCAATCCCACATGTAGGAATACAAGCCTAGTTCTAACCCAGTAGATTTGAAGATAAAAACCATACGAAATTAAATTCCTCCATTTCTGCTTTCTGAACCACTTTAGAATTTGATTAATTTGGACATTGTGAAGAGAGAGAAAGAGATGGTGGGAAAGGAGAGACACTTGAATAGATCAATTTACTCTCAAAAATTGGCTCACATGCTTGAAACATGACTTTTCTCAACAGGAAATTGAATGGAATTCCAAAAAACTGATTGCAGAACTCCCATTGCAAAGTTCTGAAATTATTAACTTGTCAGAATATACTTATTCCTTTTTTTTGGGAGACCCAGGGGGGGGGGGTGGGGGGGGGGGGGGGGGGGTTTGGGGCAGAGGAAGAAGCGGCACTGGTGTTCCGGGGGCATTGCATCAGTTTTCCATATTAACTATTAGGGCAGTTATTTCTTTGCTTGTTTGTCTGAAATATTTGGATGAATATCCTACCATACTTTGATATCATTACTTTTGCTGCTGTGGTCCATGTAATTCTGTATGTCTGTCACCTGCTTTACCAGCGAAAAGTCAGGTAAACTCTAGGGATCGGGACGGATTTTTGGAGCTCGGCCATTATATGTGGACTATTATTGCATTTGCTTTGGGGAAATTTTTTTTCCTTCCTACTGATTTCTCTTTTCCAATTTTTCTCATTGATCAGATCAGGAGACTCAACGAGTTGCTGCAGATGGTTGGCATGACCTTGCTTTAGGTTCTCAGTGATTTTTATTTTTTATTTTTTATGGCATAAGAATTTGTGTAAGTTGGCCGCCATCTTTTGAAACGTAATTGAACCGTTGTCCTTTGGATTTGTTGAATATGAGGTTTTGGAGTCTATCTTATTGACGTGAAGCTGATCATATGCAGCGCTATAATTTTCTGTATATTTTGTAAGCAGATAGCGTATTTTATTTTTCCTTCGAAACCCTTTTAGGCTTGGACCATATTTTTAACTTTGCCATTTCTGTGGATGGATTGATTGTCATCTTTGTCTCTCCGTCTATGTCTCAGATTCGAGCCCCCTCCCCCTCCCCTTGCCTAGCCCAGCAACCGCTCACCTCTAGTGCTTGAAAGCTCTAAATTTGTGATGCAGGGCAGCAGCTATAAGCTGCTGTCCAGTGACCTAAATGTATCCAAGATACAGAGAATAGAAGGATAAAGCTGTAGAATTGAAGTGGAACGAAGAATTTTGAGTTCTAGGGCTAAATTCCCAAAGAAAACTCTTTAGTCTAAGTCTGAAATTATATTGATTGAAAACTCAATACAAAAGTCTCTTAAAAACCTATTTATACTGGAATACACCAGCCTATAATTCATAGTCTTAGTTTACTAAGAAAACCTAATTGATAAAGGAAACTAGAAACAAACAAGAAACTTAAATCAAATCCTAATGAAAAGAGAAAAACATTTAATTTAATAATTTAAAATATCTAAAACTTAGCCGTTTTTTACTAGGATTGATGCTGTTGTATCAACTCCACTGGGTTGGAAAGAACTCGACTCCGGCGAGAAAGCTTTAACTACTTCAGCATATATCTCTGGATCAATCCTCTTTAATTCTTCTTCAGGAACCCATGTGCTCTCAGTAGCATTCTTACCCAACCATTTCACTAAGAACCGCCTATACTGATTACCCCTCCTTGACTTTACCTCCTTGACATCCAACACATCTTCAACAACTTCAGGTTGAGCCTTTGGAAGTTGTTGGATTTGTGCCTCTATTGAAACTGGCTCTTCATCAAACCCTTCAAATGAATACAAGTTAGACACATTGAAAATTGAGCTAATTTGGAGATCAGATGGCAACTCTAACATGTAAGCGTTTGAACTAATTTTCTTCAACACCTTGCATGGCCCAAACTTTTTAGACTTCAATTTATGGTACATGCCTTTCGGAAATCGGTCTTGCCTCAAATGCACCAAAACCATATCACCTTCTTCAAAATCTTTGATTCTTCGGTGTTGATTTGCAACGGCTGCATACGACTCATTAGAAGCCTTTATAGCTGCCTTTACTTCTTAATGTACTCTTTTAACGTGATCTGCAAAACCCTCTCCTTCATCACTCACCCTCATCTCTTGTGGAAGTGGAACTAAGTCAAGAACATGTTGAGGTTTAAGTCCATAAGCAGCTTGAAATGGCGTCTTCTTTGTTGATCGATTCACAGAATTGTTGTATGCAAATTCAGCTTGTGGAATGATCAAATCCCATGTCTTAACATTGCTTCCAACAAGGCATTTTAGCATATTACCCAGACTTCTCTTTACTACTTCAGTTTGACCATCTGTCTGCGGATGACAAGTGCTAGAATACTTTAGATCAGTTCCAAACTTCCTCCAAAGAGTCCTCCAAAAATGCCCAGTAAACTTAACATCCTTATTCGAAACAATAGATGTTGGCACACCATGTAGTCTCACCACTTCTTTGAAGAATAAATCAACTATATGTGTGGCATATGCTGTTCTAGCACATGGAAGGAAGTGTGCCATCTTGGAGAAGCGATCTACCACAACAAAAAGACTATCATATCCTCTTGTTGTTTTCAGAAGTCCTAACACAAAGTCCATACTAATATGAACCCAAAGAGCTTCTGCAATTGGTAAGGGTGTGTATAAACCTGTATTTTGTGAACTTCCTTTGCCAAACTGACAAATTTGACACTTCGGACCAGTCTACTAAAATCCTTGTACAACCCATGCCAATGTTTTATCCCTTCCAAAATGATCAGTCACCATAGCCAATGTTTTATCCCTTCCAAAATGTCCTCCTAATCCATTACCATGAAGCTCTCTAATAATTTGTTAACGTAACGATCCCTCAGGAATACACAACAAATTGCCTTTAAATAAATATCCATCATTCATTCGAAATGGTAGCATCTTCCAACTTATAGGACCTTGGAGTTCAGAAACTATAGAGCTAAAATATGGATCCGTAGCATATTGTTCTTTTAACTCCTCAAAACCAATAACTTGAGTACTCATCGTAGTTAACAATAGATTCCTTCGGCTTAAAGCATCCGCAACTTTGTTAGATTCACCAGTCTTGTAGTTGAGAGAGAAGTTGAATTCTTGAAGGTATGAACTCCATTTGACATGTCGAGCATTCAACTTCTTTTGAGAGTTCAAATACCTTAAAGCTTGATGATCGGAATAAACCACGAATTCTTTATAAGCGAGGTAGTGCTCCCAATGTTGAATTGCACGAACCAAAGCATAAAATTCCAAGTCATAGGTAGAATCACTACTACAAAAAAGGCAAAAGACGACAGGAATTCACTGTCGTGTATCCAGTTTTCAAACAGTCGTGAAATCGACCGACATCTTTTCCAAAAGCAAACCACGACGGTAAATCCCCGTTGTTGTTAAAACAAACAACGTCATTAACAAATAACAACCGACGTCTGTGTATTGAAAAATGAGCCAAAAAAATTGTCAAGGATAAGAATAGACGACCAATTTTAACAAACAAACGTCGTTTACAACGCAACACATGACATATTTTAACAGAACATGGCCGCAACATTAATGATAAGAAAGCACACATATAGTATAGACACACTACTACAAAAAAGGCAAAAGACGACGGGAATTCACCGTCGTGTATCGGGTTTTCAAATCGTCGTGAAATCGACCGACGTCTTTTCCAAAGTAAAACCACGACGGTAAATCACCATCGTTGTTATAACAAACAACGTCATTAACAAAAAAAAACCGACGTCTGTATACTGAAAAATGAGCCAAAAAATTGTCAAGGATAAGAATAGATGACCTATTTTATACAAAAAACTTCGTGTACATAAATACAATACGTCTTTAAATAAATAAAATACGACGTTATTAAAACATACTACGTCCCATCTATTTATATAACCGTCGTGAAATGATTTTTCCACTTCGTTTTTTCCATTAATATTGACGTGGAAATAGCGGTTAGTGTAATTACTTACGACACATGTATTTCTATAAATGATGTTATATTGAATAAACAACGTCGTCCACAACTAAAAGACAACTGTGTTTCAGAATTTATACATCATCTTTAAACACAAAACCGTCGTCTAATATATTTGAAACGGCATAAATTTCCAGTCGATCGCCGTATAAATTTATATTAACAACATGATCTGAAAATAAACGACGTGGAAAATACATTAGGCTCATGACTTACGACATATCTATAAACGACGTATTTTATATACAACGTCGTGATCATGTAAAAGACAGCCGTGTTTCTAAATTTATACGTCGTCTTTACCAAAATAATAGTCGTCTAATCTATCTGAGACGGCGAAGTTTTTCAGCTAATCGTCGTGGAAAATATATTTAACGACATAAGAATAAAAAAGAGACGCGGATACTCCCATATAACGTTGTTTTTGTAAAAGAACGACGTCCAAATATCATTTTACGTCGACAAATTTACCTCAGGATTTCAAATAACGTCGTGAATTGTTTATTTTTCACTTCGTTTATGACATAACAAGCGACGTGGTAAAATTTTAAGACGACGATTTTTGACTTGTTACGGACGAGTTCATGATCTAAGACGTCGTCTTTTGTAACGTTCAGGTTCGATATCTCGCCTTTTAGACGTCGGTATTATGGTACTGGAGTCGTGTTATTTGTAATTACATGTCGGCTCTTAATGCTTCTCCGACGTGATATCGTTAATAACTGTTTCACAATACCGCCGTCTTTCTTCAATTTTACTTCGCTTTTAGACGTCGGTAAATACAATGTCGTCGTTTTTTATTGACAATTTTATGAAAACAAACGTCTGTTTTTTACAGTTTTATGAGGACCGTCGTTTTATAATATTGAACCAGTATTTTATGTACTGATTGTTTGTGGCCAAAACCTGCATAATGAAAGTGAAGAAAACACATTACAATTTATTACAAAATTAATGTCATACAGTAGTGCTGTTTAGGGCATAAATAATTTCATAAATTACAAGAGCATCATTCAATCCCTATATCTTCACACCCATCTCGAATATTTTGACTCCCAAATTCACCCACTAGTTCATCAAATGTGTCAACATTTGGCATCCCTCTAGTAAATGGCTCACACTCCATTCTCACATCACCTAAGACATCATCACCAATAACATTATTATATTCTCTATTAGGCGCTGATAACACTACCGACCAACCATGATGCATCGGGTCGTCAATAAAAAATACTTGTTTGACTTGAGAAGCCAAAACAAATTGGTCATTCCTATGTCCAATTTTACTCAAATCTACAAGGGTAAATCTAAGTTCGTCAACTACAAGGCCAGAAGTACTATCTATCCAATCACAACTAAAGATCTAAAGACTGGGATTGTAAACTTTTGGTAGTCAAGGTCCCAAATTTCTTGAATGACACCATAAAAACCCATATTTAAGAGAATTGGGTTTTTATCCTTGGCACTAGGAACTTGCATGGTATGTGCAAGTAAATAAACTCCACTGTTTTGAACTTTTTGCACATCATCTTGTGCCTTGATGTTAAATTTAACACCTTTAATAAGATAGCTCCTATATGATGGCACTGCCATGTTTGGACCAGCTGCTAGCCACCTTAAATTTTCTGATACCCCATGATTGCCTCCCTCATCAAGTTCACTTTGAACCTGGAAATTAATCATATCTTAATTCAATCTAACATAGAAAGAAGAAAATTAAAAGTCCAATACATATACCTTGAAGTGTAGCCATTGAATAAAAGTTCTATTGTGCTTATCTTGCAGCCACTTTGTTCTCTTTCTAAATTTTGGATAAGCGGCCTTAATGTGGATCATATGTTCCTTACATGACACGAAAAATTCAAGCATTACGGTCCCAAACATATAAGATAAACATAAGGAATAATTTAAAATGGAAACTTAAAGAATAAAACTCATA